TATACTAAAAAAGGCTGGATTGCTATTAGAATTCTGAAACAAAGTTGTTGAATATAATGTATATTGCAGGAATAGAACGAACATTGGACCAATCATTGACGATAGTATTATCAGCCCGATCGAAGTGTTCATAGAATCAACCCCGGATATCAACTATTATAGAATATGGGGAAGCAAATACTATGCATATATCAATCCAAAGACAATCCTAAAGAATTAATAGTATAATAAACTACAAGATACAGCCCAAATAGGCATCTTTATGGAATATTTATACACAATCAATAAACATATTAGGGTATATTTGCTAGAATTAGACTATATTATACGAGTAAGCCGAATAATTATAAACAAATTCAAAAAAGGGGGAGACTTAGATTTGAGAATAAGAAACTCTATATCAGAACCTTAAAGCATAAAGAATATTATTCCTAACAAAAGATTTAGAGGTAGACCTTATAAAATATAAGAAATATAAGAATCCCTATTTGAGTTTCTATAAGATGCTATTACCCCTAAATCCCTGAAAGTTGTAATCCCTAATATATTCAAAATCAATAATATTCAAAAATTCAATAAAGATAATAAAAAAAATATTGTAGAGATTAATTTATTTATAGAATCAATTCTATCTTTAGAAATGAAAGAAATAGAGATACTAAATATAACATCTAAAATCAATAAATTTTCAATAGAAATTCCAATTATATTTATAAATATAAATCCCCCTGAAAAATATTCTTTTCGAAAATATAAATAAAACGATAGTAAGTTAAATAAGCATATCCAAAAATTGATAAGAGTAATAATAATAATACTTTTAATAAATCCAGATGAAAATGTTATTGAATATATTATAATCTTTATACTCCTTATATTAAGAATCGATTTAAGTATTAAAACAAAAGTGTTCAAAAGTTTTCAAATAATCTTAGAAAGCTTTACAAATAAGGATATAGCCTTCCCTACAAAATAGATCCTAGAAATCCTCATTCCTATTATATATAATTAGACAATCTTAGATCCTGAATATAATGAAAAATGGAAGTAAGTTGTTTAAGAGGAGATTAGTTTATTGATTAAAAATAGTATTTAAAAAAAGTATATTCTATCAAAAGAAGGAAATCTTATTTCAATAAAATGAGTATTTATAATAAAGATAAAAAATAATAAAATTAAAAGATTTAAAGTATAATTAATAGCAAAAGATTTTAATCAAATTCTTGGAAAAGATTATAATGAAATCTTTGCCTTTATAGTACAACTTGATATACTTTGCTTATTCTTAGTGATTATTGCAAAGAAAAATTTAAAATACTAACATTTCAATATAAAGAATACTTTTATAGAATCCTATCTCAAGAAGGAGATATACCTTACACCATCTTAGAAAATTAATATATCAAATAAATATATCTTATATACACTATAAAGTTTATATAGCTTTAAGTAAGCTAAACAAGATTGAAGTCAACTTTTAAAATCCGAATTAATTAATTAGGGTTTTATTCAAAATCTCATTAATTTATATTTATATATATATATTACTTAATAATTCAATTTATTAATTTATATTAATAATATAATTACCTTCTCAATCTCAAAAGATCAATTCAATTGATTCTTTACAACACTTTTCTTACATTTCAATACCAAAAACCTAAAGGAGATTAGCAAGATTTTAGGTATTAAGATTATAAGAGATTAAGCAAACAAATTATTTATATTGGATTAAAAAGAATATCTAGAAGCTATACTTACAAAATTCGAAATCTCATATATTTAGTATTACACTAAAAAGATACCTACTACTAATTATTTATATCTATAACCAGCTATAGAAAATAATAAATTAATTAATATTATTGAATATCAATAAATTATAGATAATCTTATTTATTTAATAATATATATAAAATTAGATATCTTCTTTATACTAGGCTAATTGTTATAATACATAGTAAAGCCAGTGAAATGTCATAAAATAGGAATAAAAAATTTAATATAATACCTAAGGGTTATAATTATTTAGAAACTCAAATATAGATTTAAGGGAGTATAATATCAAATTGCAAAGGAATATAATTTATTAGTAGATATTATAAAAATCTTTATTGATATAGATTAAATAAATAATTAATATAATTAGAAAAGTATTTTTAAGGGAATTGTTATGTTTTATGGAGAACTAATATTATAGGCTAGTAAGAAGCAGAATTCAATAGTAATATTGAATACTGAGTTTGAATATATATTAATGGCAATATTCTCCAAGTAAGGGAAATAATTAATTTAAATGCTTAAAGATCTTAGAAAGGTAGAATATATATCTATATATAGAGATATTATTTAATTATTAGGTGATAATCAAAAAGTAATAACTCTAACTAAAAACCTGTATTTATATAAATAATTAAAGTATATTAATATATACTATTATTTTATTAAAGATTTTATTGAAAAGTAAAAGATAATAATTAATTATATTAATACATCGAACATAATAGTAAATAGAATAATTAAATCTTTAATAAAAATAGTATTTAAAAGATTCAAGAATATACTAGAATTGAAATTATAGAAATATAAAAGATTGGGGAGATTAAAGGTGGTAATTCCTATGGGGAAATATTAAAAGAAATAGAAGTTATTAATATTAAATATATATAATAATTAATAATATAGTTATCTAAATAAACTAAATTAGACAAACTATAGATAAGTATATTGATCCCTTTATATAATACTATGAAAGGATTAATATGTTTACACACGTAGTAATATAGTCAATACAGAGGCCTCTTCCACCCAATCTTTTAATAATCAATCTCTTTTTATTTAATTCTTTTTTATCCCTTTAAATACTTCTTTTACTTTTCAGTTTTCTTTTCAGTTTTCTTTAGCTTTTTAGCTTTCTTATTCTATTCAATAATAAGCTCTTTAACAATTTGATATATCTTAACTTTTAAAATAATATTAGGAGAATATAAATATATCCCATTTGTTTTCTCTTCTATTAGATTTAATCTTTTGGATTGATTCCTTTTCTTTTTTTCTATTTTTATAACCTTTTCTAACCCTTTTGCTTTATATAATTGAATACTAGCTTGAGTTATATTAATAAAAGCAATCTTAAAAAGCTTTGAAATGATTTCAGGGTTATTTTAATACCAAAACTCTAATTTGAATTTACAAAAAGTTTTTATAATATATAATGTTTTAAATTTACTTTTATATAGCTGTATTGATATAGGAGGTATAAAGAAAGCTTCAGGTATAATACTAATAATAGTAGTATTCTTATATATAGAATAAATACCTATTTTTTCAAAGAAAAAGAGTATATTATATATTGTACAAATTTGAATCTAAGCTTTTTTAAATATAATCTAAAAATTGTGTTTTGTGATTCCAAATAATCCTTTACTTTAATGTAATAAATCATTCAATATTATACTATAATTTATTGAAAGTGAAAGAAAAAAGCTGTAATCAAAAGATTGAAATCGATATATAGAATATAATAGTAAAATCAATAATATTATTTTTAATTTATTACATTTTGATATAAATTCTATATTGATATAATTAGAATAATTATCTATAATTAATAAATAATATTCTTTATTTATTTTTAAATGTATATAATATTGAAAAACGTTTTGAAATTATATAAGGCCAAAAGTATTAGATAATTATTTATTGTTTAATACTTCAAAATAAACTTTATCTCTTTCCTTTATATTATTAATTTATATATTCTATAGATTCTCTGATTTCTTTTTATATAATAGAATAGATGGTAAAGCTATATCATTAGTAGAAATGTATACTAAAAGGTTAATAAACTTTTGAGATTTGTTTTATATTGCTTTTATTATTTTATCTTTTTTATAGGTACTAGCATTCATTATTCTTTTTATAGATTGTATTAGTTCAATTATAAAACCCTTCTTATTCTAATTGTATATATTTTTCGGTAATATATTATATTGTATAATTGTTTTTATCAATTAAATAAATAAAAAAGTAGGGTTAGCAAAAGCTTTTATATAATAAAAATCAATAATAAATCGAAAATAATACTGATTAGATTATAAAAATGTTCAAGATAATGAATATTATTAGCTTTAATATATAGATTATTAATATATCAAAGATATTGATTTTTAAGATATATTGAATGTTTTTTAACAAAATGAGCTATTTAGTTTTTCTCTATAAATTGATTTATAATCTCTTTTACTAGGTTTTTAATTATATAGCTTATAGGAGGTATAGATCTTTGTATCAGTTTGTTGATTTAATTAATTAATCCTTTTTCTTGCTTTTTATTAAAATATTAATGAATATCCTTATAAACAGAGATACAAAAAGCTATTTGTTCTTTATATCGATAATATAATATAGAGTAATTGATATTATAGATTTTCGTAATAGTAATTATATTGGGCTTTTTCTCAGTTTTAATTTGAGCTATTGTTTATTCTAAACAATCTTTTATAACTAATATAGGATTCAATATAAGTTTAATAAATTGATATTTTTGAGGTTAAAAAATTTGTGTAAGATGTGGGGTAGTGCAAGATGTAGGGACATCGGTTAAGGGGTGTATTTATGTACTAGATATACGCAATACCAGTTTTAACAAATAAGAATTCTTGAACAAGTTTAACTGCGATAATAAATTTTGTCACAGATTATCTGCTGCATAAAGATGGGACATTGCTCGAGTTCAATACCATCTGTGCGATTCTACTTGCAATTGCTCTTCGCATGGCCACTCCGCCAAAAGGCATCACGGGGATTTGGCGCATGCTTTCCGTCCTTAACCACCACCAGGTGAACCTTACAGGGCGCAGACCCACTCACAGCCTCAAGTCACCTCCTGTGAACTTTATTACTTCCCTAAATTTAAAGTTCGACAACATGTTGAATCGTGTTTTCTCTCGAACTTGTGTTCACAACTCTTCAAAAAACATCACGATAGTTAAATCATCATGCCTAGAGTTGCTCCTGGCCAAAGAAAACGGGCCTATAGACCGAAGACCAAGACGGGGTGTGCGACATGTAAGTATGTATCTTCAATGCTACTTGGTGTGTCATATATCTAATTGTTGTGTAGATGTAAGAAACAATGATTCTCCCGTGTCTCAATGTAGATAGAATAGGTATATAACTGAAATTTCTCCAGTCCGGAGAGTGAAATGTGACGAGGGACGACCATCATGTCAACGATGTGTATCCACCGGCCGAAAATGTGACGGCTATGCTGAAGAGTCCAGTGACTCTCCTGCAAGCTCCAATTCCGATTACAACGATTACGAAACAAGTACTGCACTTATACAATCACCCTCGTCTTCAGTAATTCTCACTTCTGATCGAGAGCGAGAGGCTTTTCACTTCTTTGTTAATATGACGGCTCCCATGATGGGTGGTTTTGGTAAGGAAAGCTGTTGGTCAGAAATGATTCCTCAAGCTGCACATCACGAGCCTTCCATTCGTCATGCGGTTATTGCATTGGGAGCCCTGCATCACAGCAAAGAAAGGAGTTCTCGTTCTACTTCCTCGAATAAGCTGTTTTCTTCTGCCGAAGAACAATTCCCCCTTTTAGAGTACAATCGAGCCATTAAATGCTTGGTGGAACCATTTGCAAAGAAGGAGCGACAGGCTATGGGTGTGAGTCTAATCAATTGCGTTTTATTTTCTGCTTTTGAGGTCAGTGCTTTTCTACTGGATGCCGAAGCACCAATCAATGTTAACTTGCATGAATTGTAGATGATGCAAGGTAATTATGGCCATGGAGCCGCACATCAGGAAAGTGGTAGTAAGATACTTTGCGAGATCACGTATGATGAAAATTCTCAGAGATACTATCATGATTCGCTCGAGACTTCCAGCTACCCATACTTGCCGATGTCACTTCTTGAAGAATTATATCTGCGCTCAGATTTTGTTCTTACACAAGTAAGTTTGAGACGCTCCCTTGCGGGTGATACAAAGGTCGGACATTAATAAATTATCTTAAAGATGATCGACATTTTCGACCAATCCCTCTACAACAAGTTCAAGAGCTCTCACTTCACAGCACACCCTCCAGCGATATTCACTTCTCTTTCCCAGGCTCGCAACTCGCTCCATTTCTTCTGGTCTCGTTTCCGGATCGATCTCTATAAGCTCAACTGCCAACCGGACTCCCCGGAACTCAACCAGCGTTTCCATGATTGGCAAATGGAAACTATTCAATTCGCCCACAAATGGCTATTCGCCTTCTAGGCCTACATTCTCAAATATAGTGATACCTTTTCCGAAGCTGATAAAATAGGCGCTGCAATTCTACAAATACAAAGCCATTGCGGATATATGAATGCGCATGTACCGCGCGGCGTCAAAGATAACCAAATGTTATGGGACCCGTTTTTGTCCGTTTTTGAGAAAATCATCGTGTTATCAGAAGAGGTCATTTCCAATCCTGCATTCGCCACGACCGTTTTCCAAATAGATATGGGTATCATCGGACCTCTCTATCAAGTCGTAAGCGTATGTCGCCACCCGATCGTAAGGAGGAAAGCCATTGCCTTATTGGAACGCGTGCCCAGTCTTCAAGAAGGAATCTGGAATGCTGGTATGACGGCAAGAGTTGGGAGGAGGGTAATAGAACTTGAGGAGTATGGGATAGAAGATGTGAGGGAAGCAGCCGATATTCCAGATTGGGCGAGAGTTAGTGATGTGGAACCTCAATTCGAGAAGGATGGAAGACGAGTGACACTGACGTACAATAGAAGCGACAGTGCAGGGGGGCCTTTAGTTAGGAACAAAATCACGGAAATTTTTGAATGGTAGAAAGATCTAAACAGAGATGTAGTCATTGGCGAGTTGGAGTAAATATTGCCCCCTCGAAAATGCAAACCAAAAATATAATTTCGCCCCAACATATTGTAGATTGGAACATCTGTTCATATTTGACCGTCTTTCTCATGCAGTATCTACATAACCTCTCACATCCACGCAAGAAATGCTGACCAGGATACCCACATAATCTTTCCCACCCCAAAACGCCATGCTATGTATTTAATACAAAAGAGGGAAGAGTTTGCACATCCATTTATCCGCGGGGAAGATTCACTCAGGGTTCGTTCAACGTCGTCCATCAGTTCAAGCTTATGTCGGGATATTATCGTTCCTCGACCGTCTTGCTTCCCTAGAATTTATCCATCCTATACACCCATCAGCCCCGCACCTCAATAGCATTTATCACCGGTCCTTAAAAACCTTCGGTTTCCACCCTTTCTCCAATTCGGCCTCCCTCTCCAATGCTTCCGCCTTAACCCTCACTTCGCCCTCTAACCTCTCTCTCGCTCTCAGCACTTTACTCTGGAGGTAAAAACTTCCTCCCTTCTTCGGATCATTCGTGTCGAACAATTTCTTGAACCGCGACATTACATCTTCCATATCCATCTTGCCTTCTTTTGGTGGTTTAACATTGAGAATCTTGCAGGCCTCATCTAATGTGAGACCATTGGAGGAGAAACTTGGACCACCCGAAGCAGAACCATTTTGTTGCGCCTTTTGGTATGCTGAAGAGGCTTTCGCTTGTTTCCAGGATTCGGTGAGGGCGCGCCCAAGAACTCGTGAGCCGGTTATGACGACTTGGGTTATGATGCGATGGGCCTTTCATTGAGTCAGTTATAGAATGTTCCCATTTGGAGTGAAAGAGTGGCACAGTTGTAGAAACTGCATTTTGAAGATGTATGTGGAGCTTGTGAGGCAAGACTTGTTATGTACATACCATGATGATGGAACTGCGACAGTCAACAACAGGTCCCAGACAATTGAAAAATGAATTATGGTGTGGAAAAGTCACTCACTGTTTACCAGAAGTCGAGAGATAATGTGAATCTCTAGACTTTTTCCCGGAATAAACTTCCGCCATCGGCCGGATTGGCAGGGATTCAAAGAAATCTATTAATGCATGCCTAATGAGGCTAGTAACCGTCATCAGTCCTCCAGCTAGCTGGTACCCCCAAAAAAGACACCTTAAGATACCTCCGCTGCGAATAACCAAAACAAACCACAAATGCTTCTCCCATTCCACAACGGCTCCGCAACTCTGTAAACCCTATATCGACCAATCTGCAATACAAATTTAGAGCTTCTCATCTTTCCATCTTTTAAAAGATGTCGCAATTTTATTCCTCCCCTCCCCCCAATAATCCTTACGGCGCATCCAACACCGCAGCTCAAAACCTCCAGTTCTACCCCTCAACATACGCTCCCGGCCCCGTCTCCAGTCACGCAACACCACAGGCAGCATATGGATATGGAGCTCCTCCCGCCGCGCAAGCATATCCTGGCGCTGGAGGCGGCGGATTTGGATTCCCAGGAAATGTACCATCGGGGGTTAGTGGGCGGATGGGAGAGAGTGGTGGATTGAGAACGGGGTGGTTGGCTGCTTTTGGAACCGAGGGTTATGATGGTGAACCACCGTTGTTGGAAGAATTGGGAGTGAATTTCGGTCATATTAGGAGTAAGGTATGATTATTTCTCCTGATACTATTCGCTTCTATAGAATGCGCAGATACTGATTTGAATCCATAGACATTAGCAGTGCTGAATCCCCTTGCGCATATCGATCAACACATAATGGACGATTCCGATCTCGCGGGACCCATTCTCTTTTTCCTATTATTTGGAACCTTTCTCCTCTTTTCCGGAAAAGTACATTTCGGATACATATACGGGCTGGCGCTCCTTGGATCCTCTTCTCTTCACCTAATTCTTTCACTCATGTCACCACCTCTCAACACCGATCCTAGTTCTCAGCAACCCGTCGGTCCCTCACATCTCTCTTCTACCCTCACATTTCCACGAAGTGCCAGTGTGCTGGGTTATTGTTTATTGCCATTAGTGCTCTCGAGCGTGGTGGGAGTTATTATGCCAATGGATGGACTAGTTGGGTATGTGCTAACCACATTGGCGATTGTGTGGTGTACATATAGTAGTAGTGGGATGTTCTGCGCGGTCGGCAGAATGAAGGGGATGCGAGGACTAGTCGCTTATCCTTTAGCCTTATTCTACGTTGGCTTTGGAATCATGGGTATTTTCTCAAGCAGAGGGGCTGGAACATTAGGAAAGGTTGCGGGAGCATAAATACATGGAAGAAATTGAAAGGAGATTTTCCGTATATCCAGAGGCGCGTGGGAGGGGAGTCGCGGTTTACAAATGGCACGGGATGAAAGAGCTCAGTGGTAATTTATATGGTGTATGAAATGGAACGGTACAGGTGGGTCAGAAGGATGGTATGGAATGGTTTGGGGTTTGGGATCTGTACAATAGGTTCTTCTTTACTTGTACAGCACATCTCAAAGTACTTGTTTGAGGGATAAAAGCATTAGGGGTGGGTAGCCGAAGCGAACAAATGAATAGGCAAAGAACAAAAATTTATTTCCCCAAAATTCAGATTATGTGCAATCTTCTTTAGAGAATTAATATTGCAAAAATAAAATGTTTACAATTCACACACGCGATGGTATAATATCCCTTTAATCCCCCGTGAGAAATCCGAATCTCTCCTCCCAGATGCCTCATCCCAGTTCCACAATTACTCCAAACCCCATTCCGAAATCCTCCTACCATCCGTCTACTCCAGTCCCATCCTGGCATCATCACTTAGGCCCCAGTCCGTTGCTCTCGGCCTCGTGAAGGGCCTCTCGTCATCTCCTTCCGATTGTAGACTCACGCTACTTTTCCTACTTCCCCTTTCTAAGTGTTCCTTTTTCAAACTACTTTTCTTGCTGCTAAGCCGACCACTTTTATTACTCCGCAAACTAGCATCATCCCGATCCGAGTATTCTGGTGGGGGACTTCTCGATCTAGAACCTGAGAATGATGAAAGTCGCGTATGAGCAGAATTTGAATCTAGACTTGCGGATGCTTGGGTAGGGGTTGGTGAGGGCGTTATTTCCGTGCTCGAAGTTATTTCAACAAGCTCGGCGTCACGGTACCATTTCCTGCGGCGAGTATATCTTCCCCAGCCATCTTGGCCTCGGCGACCGTTTTGCCACTGCAGAAGGTCAGCATTACATGTAAAAGACAAGTGAAAACGACATGATTGCACATACCTTATTGTCATAATATATCCACCCTGTTCCCCCGTCATTCTCGGCTTTTGGTTTAGATCCACCTTCATCATATTCGGCAGCTCCTTCTACGCGCCAGCGACTACCTTCAACCCACCTCCACCTTGCGCCGCCACCCTCTACATCTGGCAATTCGAAATCTTCTTTCGGAGTCACAGCATTCAGATGTTCGTCTGTCCAGGCAGCCCTCTCATATGCAAACAATGATGTTGTCCATCCTAGTCCAACCCATCTACGCTGATTTTCATATAAGATGAATGTAAACTTCACCCCTGGTGCTTCTGGTCTTCTCTTTATTGCTGCGTTTGCTGCTAACGATGCGTCGGCATATGAGGATGCCGTACGAGGTGGTAGAGGAGGCTTATAATTGGTTCCGTTTGTGTTTGGTGAAAGCTCATCTGTTAAATGTAGACCAGTCAAAGCAGTACATATGCGACGAACGAGAGAGGATCTCCATAGTATGGTTCTTGCTATTCGATTCGGACGCGAATGCCAAGTCAAGAAAATTGTTCCCGTTACCAAAGCGATACGTTTCGTGGTAATAACCTGCAAAGGAGGCAAAGTAAGGATAATCCACACGGGTGTGATAAGAAGGATTCGTATTAAAAGTGTTGTAAGTGCCGGGCGAGTTGTAGCAGATGTTGCTGTTCGCTGGGTCGATAGAAAATCCGTCAATTGTAAAAGAGGATCCAAGAGCACATTGCATCTTGACGTGAATATTTTCAAGGTTTCCACGATCTCGTCCAAAGTTTTCTGGTGCTTGGTATTTGTGATTTCGGAGTCGACCTTTTTGTGACCCTTCTTCTGTTTCTCTCCTGTCCAGCTTGTTGACGACAATGGGGAATAACGTCTTGAGTACATCCCCAGTATTAAACCAATAACAACTACCAACGGTCCCGCATATCGCATCACAACATCTCCATACAGTACAAAGGCCCAAAAACTAGCGACGAGCAAGAAGCTCTCCCATGGATCTCCACTCGTCCATGTTATTAACCCTACAAGTTTATTGAGGGGCAATAGAAAAGGATGCGAATATGCTAAAGCTCTTGTAATCTGCGGAGGAGTCGCTAGTAATAAGGGGGACTTGTGATGCACCAAGATAGTTGATCTCTGTTTGTTCGCGGATGAGGCATGTGATAGAGTAACTGGAGAAAATGCAGCTATTGTCGGAGGGTTCGGATCAGAAGGAGTTGTTAAGGATCCGCCATGGTCGTCTTTTCTTAAACTTGGAGTACCAGACATTTGATCCAGCCAAGGAGTATCCTATTGATCTGGTTAGATGTGAGGTCCTGAAGATCTCGAAAGACGGATTGTTGGGAGAAGGCTAAGCATGGGGCAAGATTTTGGTGACATACGAACGCAGCCATTTATTTACAACGTCATTTCTATTAACAGGCTATACAAGGGGAAGGAAATGTAGGAGAAAGATCAACGGACTGCGTTAGAACTTCCCAAAACGGAAATAATGAATTGATATTGATAAGTTGTAGTATTCACGACAGAACAATAGAGAGAAGAGATTTAAAGGAAGTAAAGTAGAGATTTATTAGATGAGGGAGGACTTGACTTACACTTGAACAATGGAAGGAATGAAAAGCGCTCTACTCGGCACAAAATCTGGGGTACAGTACAATCACATGTCACAAGCTCTCAAGTGAATGAATGATCAATGTAACGGTAAGGGCTAGGTATGAATATCAATCAATATGGATTATCAACCTCATGAATGCACGAATGTAGCTCTTTCTCCCGCTGCACGTCACTAGCAGCCAATGAATGAGACTCCAAAATCATCATAGCAAGCTGGAGGTATTGATTTGTACTGATGCATGTGAATGTAGAAGAGTAGCCCTGGAGAAAGGATTCCATGTCGTATAATTGAATCTTTACCTACATGTTGTGCAGCATCGATCAATAATACAATAATACGAGTAATACTCGTACCGGTACTGTGGAAAGCCAAGTTTCACTACTTCTACTCATCACTGGTACGTGCTGCTACAACGTGACTACCTGACTCGGTGGGACGGATGTCCCTTTCCCCGCACCAACCCGCACCGCCTTCGCATCTAGTATGGCAGATTGCCGTACAGCTCATTGGCCGGATTGTCCCATGCTAACAATTAACCGATTCATCTTCAAAAAATAATAATAAGACAATGACGCTCCTGCCCATCTCTCAGGAAACTTTTTCCATCCAACAATTCGATCCTCAACCTCAACCTTGATATTTTATCTGCAAAACATTAATTTAGAATGTCGCGCCAACCGCCTCTTCCCAATGGCCTCCCACCTCGACCTCCTGGAACTTTCTGGGAAAGAGATAGAGATGAGAGAAACAACAATTATCATACACCCGAAAGAAATCGTCGCGACATGGGTCGTGATTCTTATCGCCCTGCTCCTGCTCCTCAATACGATAGTTATGCTCCCCACTCTGCAAACCGCGATCGCGACATGTACCAATTTGGCGGTCACAATCCTCCTCCACCGGCCTACGGAAATTATGCTCCTGGTGTACAACCTCCCCGTCGTCCTTCTGGAGCTGGAGATCCTTACCGTATGAATGATGGTTATCGCGCTCCACCCCCCGCTCCCAGCTTTGATTTCCGTTACGATGCACCACAGTCTATCAATTTCGAAAACTCCG